GATATGGCACTATGTACATGTATAAGTACATGTAGAGCATGTATATTAAAATTGCATGTAATTTGCATGTATATACATCTAAGTTTAAAACTGTTGTACATAGTACAATATACATTAATTGACATGTAAATTACATGTATGTTATTTCTTTTCAAAAGGTTAAAGATGTTGTACAACTGGAGAACAAGTGCCAATTTCTGCCACAAGTGAGTGAAAAAGTAAATGTATCATTTGAAGGTTCTCTTTGATGGGCATATGTTCCTGAGGGTTTTCCACTGGATTCTGGCATAGTGCTCATGCAGCTTCTTGTCAGTGGAAGACCCTGTACTACAGCACAGGGTATTTTGAGAAAAATTACAAGAAGAGAATTCTCCATTTTTATAATTTTTTTTCTGAAACATATACATGTACTTAATTTAGGGTTGGGGCAATTACAAATTCATGATTATGATTACACCTATGATTACATGTACTGCATATGTGTAGTCATTAGGATTACAATTACAATTACAAACCTGTCATTAACAATTACGATTACTGTAGATTGGGAAATTTTCATGTTAAAAATAATTGGTGTGAAATTTTAAAAAGTGTTTTATTTTCATTTGTTGACCCATCTGCAAAGTTTATTTAACACGGAAAATTTTGGATGCATCATAAATTGGACACGTGGCTACTAACTCTTGATGATGAATGGACAGCTATTCAATGGAAGTTGCTCATGGCAGCACTGAAACTGAAAAGAAGCCTTTTGGGTGAGAACTTAAGGCCTTCATTGGGCTTTTAGAAGGGCCTCGTGCGTCCACTGCTGCACGTTAAAATATTTTGTGTGTCAATGTCAAAAATTTGTGGGTAACTTCAACCAAAAAAAAATTTTAACAACGAAAATTTTCCAATCTATGGTATGCCACTGTATTAGATATGATAATGATATATGGAAAAATTATTGCTCAGAATCAGTGTTGCATCTTATAAACATGAGTTTTTTAAACATAATACACGTTTATATTCCTGATCCTATCCTGCAGGTATGGCGTACAATCTCCAGTTTATTTTAAGGATATGAGTGGACGACTAGTATTATCACCAAAAGTTGATGATTCAAACACACTGCACTGGACTGAAGGTGAATATTAGACTCATTAACTATTACGGGTAATCACTCTCCCTATTTTTTCTTTTCTTCATTCAAGGTTCTATTACATTTACTGATCATAGTATTACAGTGAAAACTCATCATTCAACATCACCAGCCCATCCTCATAAAGTATCACTTGAACTAAACCAGTGCACTCCAATCAAACCAAGTACTGATGATCAGTGGAAGAAAGGGAAGACAACATTAAAAGATATTATTAAAGTAAATATAAGAGCAACTGTCGGTACCTTTGCTTATGCTCAAGCAAGGGCCTGGACTAGAAAGACTTAGACACTTTTATTCAAGGGGAAATTTTAGTTTGCAGTTAGATTAACTGGTGCTTCAAATGGAGCAGTGGTCAATACTTGAAGTAATAAAAAATAAGTTTAATGCTCCCTGTTGTCAACATATTTGTTTGACCATATGTACATCAAAGGCATTGACTGATTATACATGGTACCTGATGAATTGTTAGTTACATATGATGTTCTAATGTTTGTTTGTTTGTAGGTTTTGAGATCAGAAGAGAAAGCAAAACATGATAAAGACACTAGTGAAATGTTAATTGAAGAATTCAAGCAGTAGGAACACACTTGATATACAATAATTAATAAAATGCATCACATTGGAATAAGAGATTATTGATGAGTTGTTTTTGTACTCTATAGAGGTGAGAGTATACACACTTTGTTTTAATTCACCCACTATTAATTAATTATACTATTAACTGGTGTATTCATTTGTTTTCATAATGGATATTTTTGAACTTTCTATTGAAATTGAATGAAGTAAAGTTTGATAGCTGTACATTGGATTACATGACTAGCTCTAAACTGCTATAAGTAATATACTTACAAAATGCAGCAAATTAATTATTGTTAGAACAATAACAATAGTCACAAAGTATTTACGGCAGCATAAAAACAAGGTGTACACTATGATTAGTCTAAGAAATAATCCTTGAGTTAATGTAAAATCAATAAAGGAATTATTTAATATCATAAAGGAGAAGAATAAAAATCAAAACTGAGTTTGAAATGAAAGTAAGGAGAGCTTTGTTGTAGTGTTGTGCTAGTTCCAACGGAACTAGAACTAAATCTATTTTAGTACACCTATTTTTTCCTAGTTCTAATTCCAAGAACTAGAACTAGAACTGAACTACATTGATACAAAAAACCAAAACTAGAACTAAAACTAGAATTTGACAAATTAAAGCACTGGAACTAAAACTAGAACTAAAGATTTAGTTATTAAGAACTTGAAACTAAAACTAAAACTAAAATGCGCACTTGTAAATCACTAGAACTAAAACTAGAACTAAAACGCTACCCTTTTAATAACTGAAACTAAAACTAGAACTGAAATGGAGCCCTTTTAATAACTAAAACTAAAACTAGAACTAAAATGGTACCCTTTTGAATAACTAAAACTAAAACTAGAACTAAAATGCTACCCTTTTAAGTTATTAAAATTAAATTTCATTAAAAAATTATAATGATCACCTAGAAATGGTGTATTAGTAGGACTAAAACTAGAACTATAAGGCCAGAATCAGAATTTGGCATGGAACTAAAATTAAAACTAAAACTAAAACGGAAGTACAACTAGAACTAAAACTAGAACTGAAACTAGAAATGAAGTACTGGTAAAACTAAAACTAGAACTAAAACTAGAAATGGAGTACTGGTAGAACTAAAACTAGAACTAAAACTAGAAATGGAGTACTGATAAAACTAAAACTA